CCACAATATCGAGTTCAAGTATAATGGTAATCCTATACGAGCCTGGACTATACGGCATGGGAATAAGCCTGATCAGAAAGGTCTTTTCCCAAAGATATTGGAGAGATTGGGGAGAATGCGAAATGAAATAAAAGCCCAGCTAAAGCCTATTGGAAAGAAAAAGGAATATATGGGAAAGGTCAAAAGTAGAATGGATGGATCCCAAAGGGATCATGCCAGCGGATCTATCTCAATAGCGGATGCAATCAAAGATGTTTTGTCCTCGACGAAGAATGTGAAGAAGCGTACTGAGATGGTTAAAATCTTAGATCCTTTTATTGATTTATCATATGATAATTTTATAAAAGAATACAGTTCTGTCTGCTTTGCCTATGATTCTTTAAATTCTAAGCAGAAAGCCATTAAATTGTATATGAATTCATTCTATGGTGTGACGGGCAGAAGTGGCTCCCCATTCTACATACTCGAACTTGCTAAAGGTGTTACTTCGGCTGGGCAAGAAATTATCAAACGTGTTGCAGAGTACGTTAGAAAGAAAGGCTTTAGGATAAAATACGGTGATACCGATTCCTTATATCTCATTTGTCCAGATTCCTGCTATGAAAAATACGATCTGGCTTATAATGATGGGAAGGGAGAAATCTTTAAACTAGAGTATTGGACCGAGATGGTCAAGACTACTATGGGTGTAATGGAAAAATTGCGCAATGATGTGAATACTTTCCTCAGGCTAGAGACTAGATCAGATAATCTTAAAATGGCCTACGAGGAAGTACTATTTCCAGTAGCGTTTACCGGAAAGAAAAAATATTTTGGCATTGACCATGAAGAGACTCCTAACTTCGAACCAAGAGAGCCTTTTATAAGGGGAATAGATACTGTGAAGCAGGGTAAATCCCAAGTTTTCAAAACTATAGGGGATCGTATTATGCGAAGGGCTATGGATATTAATAACGTCCAATCACTCCATGAGATTGTTGAAGACGTTCTCAGGGATGCTATAATTAATCATGAGCAGTGGAATTTTGAACAATTTATAGAGACTGATGCTTGGAAACCCGATAAAGATAACAAAGCTGTTCAGCGTTTTATAGGACGAATGAAAGGAAAATATGATACTAAGATTCTGGTACCAGGTGGGCGCTTTAGTTACGTAGTAACTCATCCAGATATGACTTTTGATTTACATGGTAGAAAGTTAGAACCAACTAAAGGCGAGAAAATGGAATTTGTGGATGTAGCTAAGGAATTGGGTAAGGAGTTAGATTTATATCATTATTACGAAAAAACTATCATTGGTCTCTGTGCCCGATTTATCATGTATGATAAAAGACATGAGCCGACCCCCTCAGATAAAATAATGCAAATTAAGGATCCGGATGAGAAATATAAGCAAATAGATGACCATGCTCAAAAGAAAGCCAAATCATGGCTTGAGGGTTTTGTGAAGGAGAATATTATAGTTAATGGTATTACTTCCAAGATGATGGTATCCCGTGGAAATGCTTATAAACGCGCCTATAGAAACGCTGTCATAGAAGCACAAGAAATGTTGTATCAAAAGATAGGTAGTTCATATGAAATATTTCATGGTAAATGGCTTAGCTATGAGATTTTCATGGCAAGCAACCCTATCGAGGTATTATGGGAGACATTTATGAAATGCGCTAGGAAAATTTCAAAAGATAAAAACCTCTCAGTAGATGACGAAATGAGGGAAAAAATATGCTCTGATTTTGCTCTATATCCTAGCGAGCTTGCAAAATGTATTGAAGAGTATAATTTATTCTTTCACAAATTGGTCTATCATATGCGTTATAAAGAGCATGTATCAATTCCAGAAGAAATCGGCCCAGTTTCATCCATGCGAAAAAATGAGATAATTGCTGACCTACCTACCTTACCTCATATATCAGAAATTGGGGCACTAGATGAGATTAGTAATTTATGGTATTTCCATCTTGAGGATGTGACCGAAAGCACTTAGATAAGTTATATTGTCAAGTATTCTTAGCTGAAATTGCCACACCTCTGCTAGAATACTTGCAACATTATTTATGACCGCATATTTTTTCTCGTGCAATAATACTGGCTAATATCAATTCCTATAATCGATCTTCCGACCCTGAACATGAGAGATCCATCCCTCCGATCATACAGCCCGACCTCGGAAATGTCTGGAGATGATCATTAGTATTTTAATTTGGCAAAACCGTATCCTTGAGATACGATCAGCCGAAAAATCCACATATTTTAAAGATAAGCTTTATTGGTATAATGGCCGAACTATGTGACCAAGTTTCCCAGTACATAGGCTTCGAACCCAACAAAATCCATCTCCCGATCACAGAAGATGATAGATGGTTATTTCGCAAAATAATAGCGGATCAGGAAGGGATGAGAGATATCGTAATGGATGACTATCAATATTTACTACAACACGGTCATAATGGTAAGGGAGGTAACCGGATCTATATTGGATGGTTGTTTGCATGTACACTGGCCTAAGCTAAAAAGATATTAATAAATCCGCCCGAAGATTTATCAAAAAAGGTATTAGCCCACATCCAAAGAAGATTTAGAGAAGTCCCGCTTGCGCCAGTACTTATACGGTAGTCGATTAGGTATTGAGATAATAAATATCCGGCCTATTTATATATTTTTCGTGTGTGAAGTATCGGTCACTTTCTTTCGGCTTGGCGCTCCACATATTCCATATTTTTTTCCCGATCACAAACCATATAATTGCAATCAGTAGTAAGGTAAGTATGGAATATATTAACATAGGCGACATTAAGGAGTCCGCAACAATAGGAATAGCNAGATTTCCGAAACATATGGTACAAAGTGGTTGGCCTAGAAATCACACGCTACCGAATATTGTCGAAATTACAGGATAGCAAAAAAGATGATTCATCCGAATCAGATATAGACGAGATTATCGAATTATATGGATAAGTACTCTTAGCGGGATGTGGAAATTTCAGCTAAGAAATTTAGGCGTTAAGGTGCTTCGCATAATATTATTTATATATTTTTTCTCGTGCAATAATACTGGCTAACATCAATTCCTATAATCGATCTTCCGACCCTGAACATGAGAGATCCATCCCTCCGATCATACAGCCCGACCTCAGAAATGTCCGGAGATGATCATTAGTATTTTAATTTGGCAAAACCGTATCCTTGAGATACGATCAGCCGAAAAATCCACATATTTTAAAGATAAGCTTTATTGGTATAATTGCCGAACTATGTGACCAAGTTTCCCAGTACATAGGCTTCGAACCCAACAAAATCCATCTCCCGATCACAGAAGATGATAGATGGTTATTTTGCAAAATAATAGCTGATCAGGAAGGGATGAGAGATATCGTAATGGATGACTATCAATATTTACTACAACACGGTCATAATGGTAAGGGAGGTAACCGGATCTATATTGGATGGTTGTTTGCATGTACACTGACCCAAGCTAAAAAGATATTAATAAATCCGCCCGAAGATTTATCAAAAAAGGTATTAGCCCACATCCAAAGAAGATTCAGAGAAGTCCCGCTTGCGCCAGTACTTATACGGTAGTCGATTAGGTATTGAGATAATAAATATCCGGCCTATTTATATATTTTTCGTGTGTGAAGTATCGGTCACTTTCTTTCGGCTTGGCGCTCCACATATTCCATATTTTTTTCCCGATCACAAACCATATAATTGCAATCAGTAGTAAGGTAAGTATGGAATATATTAACATAGGCGACATTAAGGAGTCCGCAACAATAGGAATAGCTGGTAGTAGAGGTATTGATTGGGTCGATGATACCATTTCTGCGCCACCTGCGGAAATAATTTGGGATGAATCATTCATAGGCGGGGGTGGAGGGGATATTTCATTATTTTCCTTCAATTCTAACTGGTCTCTGAGGGACTTATTTTCTTCCATTAAATTTGATTGTGCCGAATACAAAGCATCTATTTCCCGACTGGTTATCTCATGTGTCGCTTCTATCCCTTTTTCCATACATTCTATTGTATATTCTTTTGAATTATGGTCCTCCTTCGCTCGTTCTAATTCAAGCCTGAGGGATTCTATTTCAGATGAGCTTATTTGGGCCGGCTCCCCTCCCGTTACATCCAAATCATGATATGTACGCTCTAGATCTATGTCCTCCAACTTACCTTCCAATTCACGTATTTTAGTTTCAAGAGAAAGAATCTGGACCTTGTCAACGGACTAAGCTTTCTGGGCCAAAGTTGCCTCTCTCTTCAGTGTTTTAATCGAAGATTTGAGCGATTTGACTTCGGCTTCAAGCTCACGTTGTCTCTCAGAATGAGACTTTCGTTCGGAAATAAGTTGGAATCCAACCTTAGTACTGGACGCAATTAACTGGCTAGCTTTATTTCCCATATCAGCATAGATTCGCTGGAACTCTTTTTCCCGCTCATTGTACTTATCTACCAGCTTTCCACTGAGATCGTTAATCTCAGAGTTAAATTCAGTAACAGATCTTATTTTTTTTTCGAGCTCTTGCTCATATACACTACCCAGCCGATGTCCTCTATCTTTTATATCTTTCAGTGTGTACACATTAGACATAATATTAGCATGGTTATATAATAGAAAAAAAATGCATGAATAAATTTCCGAGATAATAGACATAATCTGTTTATTCAGAATAATATAATCTTTCTAAATATCCTATTTATCCTATTTATCCTATACATCCGACCTATATATTCTATATATCCTGTATATCCTATTTATCCTATATATTCAGAATAATACATTCTTTCTATATATCTTATTTAATAAATTATTTCAGAACATTATATTAGATATAAAAAAAATATTGCTACTATGGTTAGGCAACGCATGAAATGTAATGCCCCTCCTTTTTCACTAGCCGATTACGATTATATTATGCAATGTGCTGAAAAAAGCCCTAGAACTGAAGTTTTAAAGGAATTAACAGATAAATATCACACATCACAAAAACGAATCTATCAGATCTGGAGAGGTGAAGAAAAAAATAGGGTTGCGTGGAATCAACCAATTCATATACCAACAGCTTCACTTTCTAATATAAATGTTGTGTGTAGGCAGACCTAGCCAGAGATCCAAGGCCAAGATGTTTCTCCATTTACAGAACTGGAAAAACAAATACGTGATGCTAAGAAAGAGCCTAGCAAATCTATTGATCCAGTTTTGGAAGAAAGTGGAAAGGCGAAAAAGACTGGAGGGAAGAAATCGAAGTCCAAATCTGCCTCAGCAGAGCTAATTCCATCTCCCATTCAGACTCAACTGATCCCCATATCGCATGAGAAGATAGTTGAAAATAGCATAAAAACTATAACGAATATTAAGAATATAGTAGAAAAATAACTTGCTTATTCCTGTTTTTTTCTCATAAATTCGAAAAAATGATGATGAAGCTTTTTCACCTTTCCTGATCACCTATTTTCCACCCCGCAGTCCTTGGACGAGGGGGCGAGAAGTTCACTATAGCGTGTCTGTAATCTTTCACAATACTCATTGATTTCTGCATTATACTTAAAAGTGCTATATAGCATTTTTTCGAGCTCCTCATAACTCACCTTTTTTTTAAATGTATCATCCTCGCCTGCCATTAAGGCGCTTTGCAAGTCCTGCGAGTCTTGAGAAACTTTGTCCAGAATCGATGAATCATCACATTCGGAAGTAGCGGTCGCACAATTCACCTCGAGCTTGTTCTTGACCTTATGCATAGTGACCGGAATAATATAATCTTTTCCATCGAAAGGAATCTTTAGCTCATCGGTTTTCCAGTCCATTGCGCAACCATATTTCTTTAAAAGACGATTAGAAAATATTAATGTCGGCTTGTGATAATCTACAACTACAAAATCTTCATGGATGGTGCACCCAGGAGCTAAAGTGATAGGCAGATTGCGGACAACACCAATAGTTTCAACTGGAACAGTAGATATACCGCTAAGGTCATATTTTTCAGATTTATCTATTTTAACCTTAATACGATCGACAATGTTTTTTGTTATAATCGGGGGTTCTGCTCCAGAGTCAACAGTCATAGCTGGGATCTTTAGGCGACCGATTTTGCACTTTATAGTAGTGGTGCTTGTAGGTGGCTCCTTCTTTTTGACGAAATTGATCTCCATAGGTTCATCCAAAGACTCCTCTTCATCTGAGTCAGGAGATATATTTTCAGCAAATGAGGGGGTATCTCTTTGAGGTTCTTTCTTCGGCTCCATAGGAGCCACTATCTGTTTGGACATAATGAAACTGGAATCTTGGAAAAAATGTGGGGGGGAAGATTAGTTTAAGCTCACTATGAAGGACTTTACGAATAGTCTCCTCTAGTGGTATTTCTCTCAGCTTGGCACTAGACATCTCTTTAGAGGATAATTTCTCGGATTCACTCCCCTTCTTCACTTTTTTTTTGTCTTGGCAATATTAACAGTAAT